AGGAGCTGGGGAGGATGCTGGTGTATCCCCAGATGCAGAGGAGAGAGCGCCTCCCCCGCACACCAGCCATTATGGAATCACAGTGGAAAGGTGAAAAGTCAGAGGCAAGTGGGGCTCCAGACACTTGTGGCAAGAGGAGGAGGCGGTGCAGTTTCTGCACTGACAAAAAAGAAAAACCTCCACCACCTGCACAAAATGTTGCATTTGCATAGAAAAATAAAAATTCATGTTCATGGTGATCTTGCAGTTTTGCTTTCTTTCTAGAGCAAATTTTGATGTGTAGGGAGACAGGCACAGGTTATAGTCACCTAGTGGAAATTAGGAAAATGTTTGCAATACTGCAGATGTTTGCAATATGTCAATTATATGAAACGGTGAAAGGTAAAAAAAATTACCCCAAGGCTTGGTAATGACAGGGTATTTGAATAGAAATCATGATTTTATGGTATTATGACAATGGGGTCAAAAATGGATGTTTTAATAAGTTTAAATAGGATCGAATTTGTCCTTAATGTGCTATGTGTGATTAATTTAAAAAAAATCTGACAAAATCAGCACAAAAAATAAAGATGCACCAAAAATAATGTTGCCGCTAATCTTTGTCAAATTCAAGACTGTGATAATCCAAAGCTAAGGTTTTCACTTTGCATTTAGTATATGGAAAACAATCATAGAAAAATAATTATAGAAATTGATGGTATCATCACCAAAACTGTAATTTAAAAGGGTTAAAATCCTTATGATTATGTTATGATCAGGACTGATTGTGGCCAACAGGTTTAACTCAGTAAAAGTGGGAAATAATAATAATATATAATATATTTAGGTAGTGTTTAATATGGGATCATTTTTGGTCCTTAACATGCTGTCATTATTATTTTTTTAAAATCTGCCATAACACAAAAAATAAAAATGCATAAAAATCAATGTTGCTGCTAATCATGGACATATACCAGGCTGTGATAATTCCCTCCCAAGAAATACACCTAGCATGTAGTAAGTACACAATTTTTAAATTTCTTTTTAATGTTTCTTCCATTGATAAAAACAGTGGCATCATGTAAACAAATGGCATTTAAGGGTTTAAAATTCTGAAACATAAATAAATATTTGGTAGTAATTTTCAGGACTGATGTTGGTTAAAAGATCTAACTCAGTGAAAGTGTAAAAAAATTATGATATATAATGATTTTATGGCAGTGTTTAGAGCGGACATTTTTTTCCCTTATATAAATAGAATATATAATGAGGCATAAAGGTAAATTTGTACAGTTTTTAGCTCAATTATTTGTCAACATTTTTCAAAACATGTGTGAGAGACAGGAACCAAGAGAGTAAGGGGGTCCACAGAGACTTCTTGTAAATAGGGCCTATGTGCGACATCCCTGGTGTGAAAGCGTCTGTAAACAGACTTACTGGTAGACAGCTTCACACAAAGTAAACTCCCACTGCAGGGTTACAGTAAAATTTTTATTATCTTGACGTTGAACTAATCCATTCTTGTCACATGAAAACATTACATTGACTGCATTTAGTTGACGTTAGCTTGTCTGTTTGCTTTTCAGTAACAAATTATTTATGTATCTTTCACGGGAGGCTCAGAAATGTGAGCACAGCTAAATGTATTGGATGAAAACGAAACCATTAGAGAGCAAGACTGAAGATTATAAATGAGATTGTTGCCACACTTAAGTGTGGCAGTAAGTAACGTTACTGTAGTGAATGGGTGGAGGAGCTGTGCATCTGAGTATCAGTAAAAGCCGTGTAAGCAACAGAGACCGTTGACAAAAAGAAGTGAAATGAATAAGTTATTTCATTGAATAGCTACATATAGCCACTATAAACTTGTTATAAACACCTAGCAAGCCATCTTGACAGTGCTTACCTTTGACGGGACTGACAGCCGCACAAAGTAGACACTGTAGTAGCTAATTAGCTGTGTTGCACGATTCACTTTTAGTATTAACTACTCCACAATTATGAGAGGAGTTGATAATACTAATATATTTTTTGAATAAACTGTATAAAGTTATTGTACCTTTAATGACCAAGATAAGCTAACCATGACTCGTTAGCTTGGGGAGCTTAATTTTCCCTCTTCAATATCTTTTTATTGAATGGAATGGTGTACAGCGGTGAACACAATTTCAGAGAGAAGGAAACAGAACAGTAGTGAAACCCTAGGAGCTCTTGTAAGTGGATTCATTTCACTTTACCACTTTATGGTGTGACCAGGTCTAAAGGCCTTGATGGACACAAGTAAGGGTGCCAACCGTCCCATGCAATATGGAATCATCCCATAATGGGAAACTACATTCAGACTGCAGGCCAATGTGACCCAAATCCAGTTTTTTTTTTGCCCATATGTGACCCAGATCTGACCTTTTTATGACAGTGTGATTAGGCCAAGTCAAATGGAATCAGATTTTTAAGTCTATAGGAGTCAAAGGTTAGGCTAGTAAGACAGGGTGATTTGTATGGGATTGAAGGAAAACCTCCAGCTCCGTTATTTGTGTTTTAATGTCTTGTTATGTTCCACCTATAGACTATAAAAACACTGACGTAGTCTCTGTGACGTCACCCATAGATCGCTGAAGAGTGACTGTGAAGCTCAATGTGGGTGGCTCAGACCGTCACTATCGTATATATGCCAGACTCACTTAACTCCTGGCTAACCCAAAATTGGGCAAAAAGTGGAGCGTGGAAAGAACCATAACCCTAAACCCACAGTAAAAGAAACTACAGTGAACTACATCTTCAGTATTGGATGATTGCAGCAACTATGATTCAGTTTTGCCTGAAAGATTAATTTGCCTGTAGAACAGATGTTGTACTTGATGAAATGTTTCTACATAATACTCCTGCCTGCATGGGCAGTGCAGGTAGGCTCACTCTTGTACAGGTTTTAGGCCCCATACCTGCGACACCAGGTTCAGTGCTGAGGCCTTTGCAAATCTTCCCTGACTCTCAACAACAGCACAGACCCTGTTTGCTCTTACTAGCACGAACACAGTGTTTTCATAACCTTCAACCTAAAGTCAGATTTCACTGTCAGTTTTATGGCAGTTGCCAACGATGTTAAGGTACGTGCCAATAGCTACAGAGAGTGTGAGGGAGCTGTCACCAGCTGAGGAGAAAAAGGAAGGTGTTTCCATGTCCTGGGGGTTTATTTACCTCACACACAGACACACATGCACGCATGCAGGCGCGTACACACACACACACACACACACACACACACACACTTTCGTTTTTATCACTTGTCCTGTGCCGCCCACACCCTGAGGAATTGACTAAGCACTGTAGCTATGTCATGGGTGGCACCAGTGCACACACATAGAGCTCATGACCACCCAGATGACCTTTCAGATGCCATACATCCTGCCCAGGGAGTGGGTCTTTATGTAAACACGCACAAGTATGAACATTTGAACAGTTTCCTGAAAAAACATTAGTTTTATTACATTAAGAGAATTTGTTCTGTGATCCTGTAAACTTTTGGTCTTTTACTTTTTTGATAATATGTCCAGATGACAGATGTCATTTGTATTGTTTGTGTTTGTATTTTTTGCCAGTAAATATACAGTACACGTGCATTTACATGTGTACTGTATATTTACTGGAAAAAAATTGCTATTCTTTCGGTGGAATGTAATAGCATTGCCAGCAGGGTTCCATTCATCACCATCTTCTTCAGAAATAGTTGATTCTTGTTTTTTTCAAAATTGTCCATTCTTTAAAGACTTCCTCTTCCACCTTTTCTTTTGGTTTCCTATTTTCATCTCCATCAAAACCATGATACATAATAAGATTAAGAGTGGGTTACGTCCAAGCAAGAACCTCTTGGTCTGAAAAGTGAAGCCAATGTGGAAGTACCATCAACCTGTTTTAATTTCTAATGGCCAGCAGGGGGTGACTCCACTGGTTGCACAAAGAAATCTGTTTGCATTGGAATCCATGACAAAATGACCCTGCTTCTCACAGTATTTATTTCCTTAACACTTTCCCAATGAGTTTATGGTTTCACTCGCTAGTTCGAAGTATTCTTTAATACAGCATGATGTTCATTTTGTAAATTATGGTCCCATTTAGAGGAAAATAAAGCAGGGTATGCTTTAGAGCATGGCTACTTTCTGAATGATAAGTTGCTACCATTGTGACCTGTCAAACAAGACAGAGACAGATTATATTGACTGCACTGTTTACATTTAACTTGCTGTCAGTGTTGAAAATTCGACACTGTTCAACTCGAGCGAAGTTACATGACAATAATGACGATTGGCGATGGCCAGTCAGAGTCTCGATGGCCGACAGACAGCTGCTGAGCTCTGGGCAGCTTTGGACGAGACAGCCGGTGTAGCGCTGCAGCTTTTGTACATATAATCATCGACAGTCGGACCGGATTATGTCCAGACATCTACGCTGTTTATCAGCAGGAGCTCAGAGTTAACTGCTTTTATTAAATTAACTTTTCAATAACTTTTAAATATGTGGCATTAAAACTTTGACTTATCTTCACTCACACTTCTCAGCAGCTGTCTGCCATTGTTGCTGGTTCCATTGTTGATGTTAGCGTCAGTGGGCACCCAGAGCTCTGTGGTACTACTACTACTATATTTATATAAAAACCGGACAAAGCTGAACACTGCTTTGAGATAAGAAAGCGAGGAAGTTGTGTCGCAGTGAGATTGGAAAGCCAGTTTTATCACTTGATCCTAATCTTGCACTTTTTATCACATCATGTGATTTCCTTTTTTTGTGTATTTATATATTTTATTTGGGTTTTATCAGTATTATTGCATGATTTGTGTTTTTATTGGTTTTACTTGTTTATATTTATTTCTTGGATGGAGGAACAAGTGGACTGATGAGAGACAGCTGGGACTGATTATGTGACACAGTCCACGGTGCCTGATTGGAGGAGAGAAAAACTGTCCCTGGTTTAATTGATTGTGTACAACTGAAAAGGATCATGGGACAGGGACATGACAGAAAGTGAAGAATGGTGTAGAGACGGGAAAAGAAAAGGAGGAGAGCGGCATGGCAGACCACAGAAAGTAATGGTGAGGCAGACACCAGGAAGAAGCAGAAAGACAAAGGACACGCGCCAGTGAAATTGAAATTAACAAAGTTTGCTGGTATCAGAAAAGAACATCACACCTGTGTGTGGCGGTTTAACTACCTGGTGAGTTCAGAAAATATGTGTATGTTGAATGAATTGACGGGAAAAAAAGCAAAATAAAAAAAGCACTTTCGGTGTTTGGCCTAATAAGTCAAAAAAACACATTTTTACAGAATAATTAGGTTGACAAGCCAGCAGTGAGGAAAAATTTTAAAGTGTCTGAGAAAGACGCAAAAATCGCCGTTTGCAGACACTGTTCCGCCAAATTGTCTCCTAGCACATATCCACTCCATCTGTGGCTGACTTCTTAGAAAAGGCATCAATTGGCATCGGACCCACTCACCATAGTCTCTCCAAATCCTGTGGGAAAAAGCTCATTTTACTATTTAATTTATGCAATGGTTAAAAAAAAAAAAAAAAAGTAACATTTTTTTCATTGAAAGCTACAGCTATTTGTGCTGGATCTTGTAACTGACTCTTCATGTAGTAACAACATTTTATTCGTGAAAGGTTTTCATTATATTCAGTTTCGGCTTTGGCCAAGTCCTGCTGTCTTTCTGACAGACATGACAAAGCATGAATTCATATGTTTAACAAATTGGCATAATGTTGTAGTTATATTGATCCGTTTTTTTGCAATTAAATCACAGCAAAATGTTTATTTGGGTTCATACAGCTGTAGTAATTGCGGGTTGTGTTTATTCGCATGATCGTGTTCTGTGTGAACACTCTGAAGCAGTCCACTACATTGTATAAGTGTGAAGTTATTGAATATCTCTGCAGAATGTATTTTCGGTGTTGCACTTTGTAGGCGGTCCCTGCGCACTTGTCTCACAGCCTGCTGCACGTAGAGACCAATGTTATTTGTGCCGCTCCTAGGAAGACTCATTTATGTGAAAATGTACTTGTAGCTTGTTGTCTACTTAACTATGATATACAGAGGCGTAATTTGTGTTTAAACACGTTTTGCTTACGAGTTATTGATCATGGAAGCTCGAATCTGTGAATATAGGCTATTTCCGACTTTACCATTATCTTGTAATTACGAGATCCAGATTTTTATTTATTCTTTTTCTTTGGGGAATGCAACAAATTGCTTTTCCAGTCCGATATTGTAGTTCTGTGATTCCTGTATGGCAGCTTTGCTTGATTCAAAGTTCAAAAAAATATTAAATTTTCTTATACTGACTCTTCATGTAGGGCTTCATTTCAGTTCAGCCTCTGTGTGATACAAGCTGCAAATGTGTGTAAGGGCCCCCTCTCAAAGCCCACTGTCTTCTGAAATGCCAAGACCAGAAGCATGTTACCAGGCTGTTGCTGGGCAGAACAGGCAGACTGAGCCGCTGGGCTGTTGCTATGCCCATACATGGAACACCAGCTCCTTCTGGCTCGGTATCGCGTAGAACGGAGCTCTTGGTAGAAAAATAGGAAATATGAGGTTTTTGCTCACATGGATTTCTTTTAAATACAAAAACCTCCTTGGTTTTTTTTTTTTTTTTTCAAAGCTTTGGCCATGTGTAACATTAACATCCAACATTGTAGATAAGTCATAAAATGTGGAAAAGCATAATGGGTCTCCTTTAAAGCTTGTTTTGTTGAAAAGAGCTGTCTGCTGCCAAAAACAATGCTATGGCAGTGGTGAGCATGAATCTAAACAGTGGGCTGACCAGCTAAACAACCAGCTAATTACTAGCTAACTTCATTAAAATAAATGTGATTGCATGTGGGAACCAAACCTTGTGTCCTTAGTGAAGAACAGGCTCCTCCTGGCAGTCTGTTCTGTGTGTGTGAGCTGAAAACTAATCGGCTCTTTCTACCCAGCTGTGGCTCTGTAAATTGGAAAGAAATATGCTGAAACTATACAACAAAAAATAAACACATCTTTGGTTCCCGTGTGGAGTGGTAAGTGATCAGTAAAGCCACTTTTCCACTGCATAGTACCAGCTCGACACGGCTTGACTTGCCTCGACTCGACTGTCCTTTATTTAGTTTTCCATTGTGGAAAAGTTGTACCTGTTTTTTTTTATTAATACAACAGATCAGGGAATACGTGGACATCGATACAATATACAGTAGTCTGACATGAACAGACAATTTATCTGGATTATCTAAACAAAAACAGTAGTTCAAAGTTGAACCAGTTGGTCTGTCCACTGTAATCAATAAGAAATTTGGGGTAATTCAAAAATATTTAAATAGTTTTTCTTCTTGCATTTTTACCAAGGACCTGTTTATTTATGAGCTAGTTGCCGTTTCATTTGTTCTGTGCATACACACAAGGACGCACATGTACTGTACTGCTACGCACTTGGGTAATGCAGTACAGTCCTTCCAATCGTCTCACGCTATTCCACTGCAGGTTTTGGTAATGAGCCAAGAAACCTAACAATGTGCAAAAACAGGCAGTGCAGAAGAAGACTGCAAACTAATAAACATATCAATATTATACTAATGACACATTTGTTTGACCTGAAGAATAAACAGACAAAAAATAATAAATATAACTTTGTTTACAAGAAAACTCTCAAAGCACCATAAGTTTTGGCTACTATGGATATTAGTTTAAAACCTTAAAATCTGATTGCTGCGAGTTTCTTCTTGCCATGTTGACATCTCACCTATTTGATGTGTAATAAAGTTATACATATCCTTTGACATCACTGGTGACCTCACAAGGAATTATTTCATTGAAATGAATGAAATCCAATTTCTTCCGTCTACTTATGTCACAATCAGGGTTACATATTATGACATAAGAGACTTTTGTCAACTCTTACATGCTATTGTGAAAGCAACTTTACAGTACTTATATTAAGATAAGGGCTTTAAAATTTTCATGTAAGCCGTAAATCATAGTAACAATTTTCTCCCTTATAAGTAATTGAAACCTGATGTAATGTCAACATCCACAATGTGGTGGAGCAACGTAATATTAACTAGTAATATGTTAAGAATATTACTTATTTTTTCAAACCAATTGTTCAACCTCTCTATTAGTCATGGTTTTGAAATTCTGACAGGGATGCGTCTTGCTTTCTCTCTCTGACCCCTGCTGACCTGTGAGGAACTTGCCTTGGGGAACTTGCTTTGAGGATATTGTGTTTCACCATCTGAGACATGCAGATAAATGTCGGCTGTGTAAATCATGTCCTGTGCTAAGCAGCAGGGGGGGGGAAAGGTACATCTCCCACTTCAATGGCAGGAAATGCCCACTCGGGACTCAAGCACTCAGGTTAAACAAGCAAAAACAGTATTTTACAACTTGCAATCTTAACATCTTTGTTTTTATTCCTGATTTACTTGAAACATCAACCACAATGAAACAAAAGACAAAAGTTATAAACTCAGACTGTATTGATGTTTAACAATGTAGCATACTTATAATTAAAATTAGATTATTAGAGCATCGACAGATTAATAAAATGGTAAAACAGATAAACCCATTGAGATAAAACTCTTGGTTCTTATGACTGACACTGATGGATTTTATTGGTTTTGGAACAGAAACTCTACTAGATGGTTATAAAAGACATTTTGAGTTGAACACAGGAAATTATTGCATGAAAATATCTGGCTGAGGTTTTCCTGTATAAATCAAGCTGAAGGTTTTGTAACCCGCTTAAGGTTGAAGTTATGACCTAAAAATACATTTGTTTGGGTGACTGCAAGTAAACCATTCAAGTTATGATTTATCTAAACTTTCTGTCTTAGATTTGTTTTTTTTCCCCTAACCTCAACCAACTGGTTTTAGTTGCTTACACTTACGTGAGTGATTACGGACTAATGAACGATGTTTTTTCACAGAAACATATTGAGTTCTACCAGTTAAGTATGATTCAATCCATTTAATTGCAGAAGAGGAAAAATTAAAAGTAGAGAGTTTGGCAATAAGGACCTGATGGTTGACTGTGTCAAAAGCTTTACGAATGTAAATGCTCTGTATTTGTATAGCGCCTTTCTAGTCTTTTCGACCGCTCAAAGCGCTTTTCCACTACATCTGCATTCACCAGTCATACATATTCATACACTGAACCACGCAACCAGGGATTGAACTGCCGACCTTCCGATTAATGGCCAACCCGCTCTACCTCCTGAGCCACAGCCGCCTACGAAGATCCAAAAATACAGCACCAACAACACCTCCCTTGTCAACCATTGCTCGAACAGTCTCTAAAAAGAGACAGTTGGCTGTTTCTGCAGAGTGATAGGCCCTGAAGCCGAACTGCATCGGATGAAGAGTAAATGGACTATTAAGAAAAGAGACAAGCTGCTCTTGATACAGCAACCTTGAATATCACAGTTAAAATACTGATGGGGCGATAGTTAAGTATGTTCGAAGGGTCATTTGATTTAAATATAGGAGTTACAATTGCAGTCTTTCAGGTAGTTGGAAATATTCCCTCTAATACTGACTGGTTAACAATTTGTGTGATAGGGTATGCTAGGTGTTCTTACAGGAATTTAAGCATTTTAGTATCCATTCCATAAATGTCTTTTGCTGTTGAGATTTTAAAAATTAATAATTGCCTGGGTTTTAATTTCAGATACAAGTTGAATGCTAAAAAAGGGCTTGGTTTCATCTATTTGAACAATATCTCCAATTGTTGGATGAAAATTCTGTTCGATTTCATCCACAGAATTAATAAAATATTCATTGAAAGCTACAGCTATTTGTGCTGGATCTTGTAATTTACCATTCAGGTTCAATTCTAACTGGTTTCTGGGCCTATGGCTAATTCCAATTACATACTTAATCTGTTCCCATATCAACTTTGCATTGCCCTTTTCCTCATTAATGATTGTTATAAATAAGTTGGCTTTAGCCTTTCTGATCACTTAAATCTCCATTACGGCTTGTGTTCGTATAGCATTTCTTTCTGGCAGTAAAGAGCTGGCAAGTGAAGGGAGCTGGGGTGAAGTGTTCATGTGGTGAGAGGAAAAACATTGCTTTAACAGAGGGTTGACGGCTAACAACAGCATGTAGGGTGATAAAAGCACTAAAACACTAACCAGCAGCATTCAGTGTCATGTCGTGGTTGACGATGGATGCATGGATGGAGTGT